AGTGCTGGTGCTAGTACTCTTTTACTGCGGCGACGCCGACCACTACAACAACAGCTGCTCCTACTACTAGCACTACTACTACTACTACTACTACTACTACTACTACTACTACTACTACTACTACTAGTACTTCTACTTCTACTTCGACTACGACCACGACGAGGAGTACTACTAGTGCGCCTGTTTTGCTATAGCTACTGCTGCTGCTCCTGCTGCTTCTGCTGTTGCTGCTGCTGCTGTAAATGCCACTCTGCTGCTACTGCTGCTGCTATAGCTACTTGATCTTGATGATCATGCTGCTATTGCAAACTTATCTGGGTTCAGGCTTTGCAGGCTTGAGCTCCACACCCCAGGCCGAGAACCAAACTTCATAACCCTAACCATTTTGTGTATACTGAGCCATGAACCCTCAGGTTGGAATCCACCTGAAGTATCTGTGAAAAGTACAAGTCGTGCTCATAGCAAACATAGTTATTGTACAGTAGAACAGCAGCACCACTGGCAATAAACCTGTAAGGACGGTACTACGAAGCTAAGCGATGACCTGGCTAGCAAGGCAAGGCTATGTCGGGTATGTGCAAGGTTGATGGCTTGTTGATGCTGATGTTGCTAGCCAGCCATCCGCTCTCTGCGCACCCTGCATCATGCCCTCAACCCTTGCCCGACCCTCAATCCTCGAAATCCTGATTGTCCTGCACTCCCGGCCCTCGACCCCCAACGCCACCCACCTCCCACCTCCCCCCAGAAACACGAACTTTCCTGCTGCTTTCGTGCACCTGCTGGACAAAGTTCCGATGCACTTCTTTGGTGCTACCAGGTGCCAGGGACTGTGCCAAATCCAAAAGCTCCTGGAAAACGAGTTCGGAATGTGCTGAGGCTTTAATGGCGCGACATTACGCACAACACTCACACGACGATGCTTGGGAGTTTTGGATAAAGGATCTCGGGGTTCAGGTTTCGAGTTTTGCAACCACGGTTCATGGCAGGCGCCAGAAGGCCCTTGGAATGTCGTGTTACTTTGGCAAACTATCAAATGGGGGAGGTGGGGTTGTCCCTGCAACCCCTGAATGGGCAGGTATACACAAATTTAAACTTCATAGCCTGTATGGGAGCTCCCGCAACTTGAACAACGTGTGGGATGTAGAACGTAGAGATTCCACTTTGCATTCCGCTGCGAGCGTGGAACCAAAAACGGGGCATCCGATGACACGAATGTCTCGAGAAGGCCAGTCGGGGCTCGACCGTCGGTTTCGGGCCTATGGGACGGCAGTTTCGGGACGAGGTGTTCACGCAGTACAACATGTGGGAATGCTTTAGTGATCAGCCTACGAGTACTATGTGATGAGCAAGATCGGCAATCTGCGCATGGTCGTGTCTTTGGAGCCTTTGCATGCGAGTAACAGCACCAGCAGCAATGGGTCCACATGAAATACAATTCTGAGAACTAGCTTCAGCATCGCCCGCTCGTGTGTGTGTGTGTAACCGAAATTGTTCCTTTCTCGCAAGTCTGGTGCTTGACGAGATTCACTCCCGATCAGTGTGGCACAAAGTTCGGCAATGGCCCTGAGAGCTTTCCCGGACAAAACTGCCGATGGAATGCTTCGCCTCGTGAAATTTTTCACTGAAGCGTCTGCACGCAAACGTCGAAGGGCTATCATTCACAGACCAGTCCCCCAACCCCAAGCATGTAATCTCTCTGCAGCTTTGCGCTCAACAACTCTCTGAAGCATCGGACTCGGAGGCCCGACAGGGTGCGTTGAAGCTTTCCAACAGCAGCGGCGGACCAGGCGTGTAGGGCACCGAGAAACAGGCGGAGGTAATCAATTGCGGCAATAGCGGCCGAGGACCGAAGCAATATCGTACATCCTGACTGTGCCTGCAGTGAGAGTGTCTTCAACCCAGCGACAAATCCAATTTGCACGTTGTCCTTGGAAGGTCTTGCAAGCTTTCGTGTTGTTCATGGCTAAACCCATGGGGTAGGTGTCAGCGCATGCGTTCGTGTACGCGATCAACTAGCCTGTCCATCTGCAGGCGATTGGAGCAATGCGGGTGCTTGAGAATCGACTTTCGTGCTGACGGCATGCCCACCGCTTGGTCTCGGACGCACGGTCGAACGCAGTTGGAACCCTTGGAATTTCAAGTGCGGCAGTTCATTGGAGGCAACTGTTCAGCGGAGTTCAAGAATGACTGGCCTGGTTCACACGAGCTGTTTCTGTTGATTTAGGTTGACGACCTCCTTTTCATCTTCTATAACGGGTCGCAAGAAACTAGAGAAGATGTCGCTGTCGCCTTTCCGTTCGTGGTCGCAGTTGGCATTCCATTCAGCTGGCGAAAACGCATCGGTGGCACTAAGGTTGAACGGGTTGGCTTCTCTGCTGACATCGAGACAGGATTTGTTGAAATTGCACTCGCTTTTTCTCGAACTTTCTCTCGATGTCGTCGATGGCTTCTGCATTGTCGAGCACCCCGGTAGTTGCTCCGGACCACCGGAACTCAGCTTCTGCTTCCGTCTCGCCCAAGGCGGGGCGCCACTTGAGCATCTGGCTGGGTGCCGGTGTCAAGCCATGCGACAGTATCGGCATTGCCGCGATGCGCTTTCCCATCACGTGGTCAGAAAAACAAAGATTTTCCAGCAGGTGAGCCCTGATCCAAGACCGGCTCCTATGTTTGGATCCACCGTGACCCACGCGATGATGTCGAAGGTGAAGCTCTGCTGTGGCTGGCACGGCAATACTAGCCTCACCTGGTCCCGGTGCCCAGCTCGATGACTCCTTCCATTGAACAGATCAATGTCAGCGCCTTGGACCGCCACAGGGACAAGCACACATTCATGGCACGCGCCGGGCACGCGCAACATGTCCAGCAAATCAATCAATGCCCCTGCCACCAAGCTCCTGAACAAGCAACTGTTATGAAACACTGCCGGCAAAGTCTCGGCAGAATGCCACTAACACGCATGCGACACCACCGAAGAGGCCCACGCGCAACATGCAGACACGGCCTTCGGCTTAGGTGTGGAGGCTAGCAGCGAAGCATCCGTGCTATCAGAGGAATCTGCTTCCACACCATCATCCTGCTGAACGCAGGTTGCCCAGCAGTCAGCAGTGCTTGCAAGAACTGTTGTACTGCAGGCCATCAAGCAATTCAACTCCCCCGAATTGCGAGATGCTGTGGTTGTTAGGCTTAATCTGAGACTCCCTCCCCTCCCTCCCTGCCTGCCTCGCCCTCCCTCCCTCACTCTCATTTTCCTCTCCCTCTCCCTCCCTTGCTCGGCCTTCTCTCTCCTGCTATCGCTCTCTGTGACGAATGCACTTTTCACCGCAGTCAACCCAGCCGCATGGATACCCGCATGACCGAGCGCAACTACCAACCGGATCACGCCCGTACACATCCGAACTGAGCAGTCACAAGCTTCGCGCAGTAGGCGCTAAAATCCGAATTCGACCGTGCCCCTCTGAACTTCCGCATATTCACATCCAAACCAGCTTTCGGGTCCAGGGCCGCCTGCTGCACCAACACTTCCAGACGATTCCACGCGAAGACTTCGACGACAATGCCGTTTGAACGGCAGAAGTCCAACACCTAGCTAGCCGTTGGCTTGGAATTTCGGACTGATGGGCGGAGATTCGGGCGGGCTTCTGGAGCCAGCGGTAGTTTCGCGAAGATTTGTAACTCACCCAACTAATGCTGCATGTGCGCCTATACCGCTCACCACCCGACAGAATGCTCATACAAAAAAACGCATCACGGGCTGGCTAGGGGCAAGCTTAAGAGCCCAGCTCTGAGCGTTTTCGAGCTTACCGATTTGGGCTGTTGACTAAAATAACCTGGGACCCAGAACATACATTAAGCCATAGTGGGGTAGGTGTTCAGGGCGTCGGGGTGCGGGGACCGGTTTAGGGTTGTCCCTGCCCGCTTCGAAGGGAAGGGCCTCGAACGAACCCTGCAAATTGGTAACGCTCTTTTGAGTGGCTCCGGGATGGTGTTTGGTGTTTAGTGTCCGGAGTGTTCCTGCAAACAGTTACTGATGAAGCTAGCGGTGTAGGGGACCTCGTTGCTAGCCTATTGGGGTTGTTTCGAGTTTCGGGAAAGAGCTTGGGGTGAAGAAGGCTCAAGGATTAACAACGAGGGCGTGTTGCTTTCGTACCGGTTCTGGGTAGCGTGCAGAGATCCCTTTGGAGGTACTTGTGCTACTTAGATTGGCGAAGCCCAAAGCCCATGCAATAATGCGCTTGAAGCTTCGGGTTGAAGTTCGGGTTAAGACTGCAAGCCTGTGCTTCTGCCCCGTCCTTCGGGGTCATGATTTATTCAGATCAGGGGCTTGTCCCGAGCCCGGAGCCAATCCTGGACACCTTCAACACAGCTGTAAACGAAGCCCGATGTTGCATGCCATCCTGCTAGGCTACGGGTCGAGGGTTCATTTTCAGAGCTCAGGGCAAACGTCTGAAAACTCGTCGAAAACTAAACCAAACCTTAAGGCCTCAAGGACCAAATGACGAGACAACCTCTGACCTCACCTTCCGAGCTTCACACATCGGTCAAAGGCGCTGTAGGAGAATACCTTAGCTGGATCGAGTATTTACATAGACAGGCAGATAGAGGTTGTCTTCTTTGTGGACGAGCTGTTCCAAACTGGAGTTCCCTTCATGCAACCTTCTGAAAGGAGTTTACTATGATGAAGACTTCCCCGTGAGCCCAGATGGATCCCGAATACAGTATACAAACAATAGAAACCCTACTGAAACCCCTTGTTTCAGTTCAGCCGATGCTCGAACCTTGTACCCCCCGGGTCCCAATCTTCAATGCGTTGTCCATTGCATCTTCTCCAGGTGGCCCAGCAGCGCGGAGCCCAAGATAGTCACTTCATCAAGTTCTGGACTGGTCGGTTCTGTGTGTGAATGGACAGACCAGTGACCATTGAAGTCATTGTTGTTGCCATACGAGACCAGGGGATGGTTTGTCGCTGTATCCTTACAGTTGACTACTGCACTCGCATCGCCGAGCATTTCAGAGTCGACTCGGGGAAATCTTAGAAACAAAAACAGCAAACTCATGAGGCTGTATGTTCAAACTCTGCAGACTCGATTGGCGATGCAGCGTCCGCACATGTCTGACTTATGTTGCAAACTAAGCCCCTCCCATCCCATTCCACCCGAAAGTGCTCCAAACTTGCTTCCTGGCAGCCCAGCCCCGCCTAAACGTATGCTTCTTCAGGGGTCTGCTACACGTAAGCATTGTTGGTGTTCCATCCCATCCCAATTTTTGGAACACCTCATGCTTGTAGAACAATGCATCTGGGGAAGCCTGGTCTCAGAATTTCGACGCCCACCCCACCGAAAATAATCAAACGAGCTAGCTTCCCACAGCCCGAACATTTGTCCACGAAAAACCCGTTGTTATAGATTCGTTCAAGGATCGGCATAATTATTGTGACGCACTGCTTGCATTGCTTGCATGAGAAAACCTACACTCTCGAAGCCAAGGCCTTGGCATCTATAATCACATCCCCGTACCGCCGGGCCACTCGATTTGATTCACCGCCGGGGGAACGCGGGCATATCTCTGAAGCTCCTCCAGTAGGGCTGCGGCTTCAGGGTCTATGTAAAGGGATTAAAACTTAGGATTTGGGATCTGCCTTGGCTATAGAATTGTGTTGATTCATGTTTCAAGCTTTTGGGCTTCAGAGTTGTGGGTTTTGGTGTCTCGGATTCTCGGCTTTGGTGCAATTTTTTGCTGTCGAGGAGGGGTTTGGCGACGGGGTTTGGGAATGGCGGGATCTGGCAATGCAGGCATTTGGAACTGGCTATAGATCTTTACGGGGTCACTGTCAGTAACAAACGGATATCCAGAAACAAACACCTGGCCACGAATCGCGTCACCGCTTTCCTGGAGATGCTTCAGCATGAAGTTGCTCACGCCCAAGGCCTCATCACCACCGCGGGATCCAAGACTTGCACAAGGACACCCGTTCCTACATCCCAAACTTCTAAGGCGACCCCAAGCAAAACAGCACCAAAGGGAGCCTGCGCACAACCAAAGCATGCAAGAAAACACGGTGGTACCCTTAGTACCCAACACGCGAGGGCTTGAGCTAGCTACCTCCTGCACGCACGTACAGAACCATTGCGCATCCGCAGCCCTTGTGTGGCTTGGAAAAGGTGTGCGCCTGGTAGAGCCCCTATGGTTTAGTTCCCAAAGGGCACTCCAGAGCTTCATGCATTTTTCGGGCCGCTGTTCAAATCCCTGAGTGTCGAAAGCTCGCAGTGTCTGCGAAGGTTGTTTCTTCAAGTGGGCATGCGTCGCCTTCAGGGAACCAGTAGTTTTCTCAAAGTTGCTGAAACGTTACTGTCCTCGCATGAAGCTGATGCTTGGATGGCTGCTCAAGGTGGCCGTGGCACCCGGCAACATCCATCAAAAACCACTTGCAGTCCTACTAGACTGTGTCACGTGCACCCACTTTCATCTTGAAAAACTTGCCTTGAAAAACCGCTGTGCTTGCCACTTTTGACGATCCTCCGGAGAAGTATCCGGAAGTTCAAAAAGCTGGAATCTCGCATGCTGCTGGCGCTTTTGGCTGCGCTCTGGACTTCTGCGAAATGCGTATGGTTCCGCCACGTCCTGCTGTGTACTTCCTCGTACTGGCTGAAATGAAGTATGCTTTAGCTTGGTTGCTCCGAATGGCGAATAGAATAACTCTTCGAAGTATTGGTATTGTCATGTTGCTCTTGCATTTTTTGCAGCCTCCAACTAACCATGGTATTTTAGCAGTAGCTCCCTTGCTCTTCCGTCGCACTTTGCACAGCCCCACGGTCTGCTTCAGCGCCCGTTCCCTTGGAACCGGGCAGGAGATGACTCAACAAACATTGCTGTGCCGAATTTCCGGTGTCCACACCCAACAACCGTATATAGGTGTTCTTGATCCATCCATTGTAGCGGCGAGCACTTCCACCCCTCTCTTAGTCGTTGGTAAACCGTCTCGGTGATTTTCGTCAACGACAAAAGGAGTAAGTCGTCCACGTAGATGAGAAGGATACCCCTGACCTCATCGCTCCTTTCGAAAAGGATGCGCCATACATTCTCCTCGGTCTCCAGGCTTTCAAAGATCAGAAAAACTCCGAGATGTTCCCTCAAGCCGGGGGCATGGGCGACGTAGCGTCGGAGAACCCGCCAGCGGATGCAGCCGCGGGCTCCTGATGTAACCCACCGCCGAGGCCGCGACATCCGTTGGCGCAGGATGCGCAGGTGTCTCCCGCCGAGCAAGACCAGGACCTAAGGGTCTGTGTTCCCACTCCGAGTCCGAGGCCCATGCTTTACTCGAGAGCACGGCGCTCCAGAAGGGGTGTGCCATGCGGACCTTTGATATCGTCGCGGCCTTCCTCATCGGAAAGGATAAAGGGCCCATAGGGCCCATGCAGACGGGGAACTGGGTCTACATGAGGCCACCACCGGAATGGCGGCCGATCTTCGAGGAGTGGGTGCGGGAGCAACCGCCGGCGGAACAGGCGACGCTCATGGCACAGTATGGTGATTTTCTCCTGCGGCTGGACGGCAACCTATACGGGTGCCGCACCGCAGGGTCGGTCTACAGAGATGAGCTGGAGGAGATGCTGTGCACCAAGCTCAAGGAGACTGGGCGCTACGACGCCAGGCGGGGAGTCAGCTACCCGTGAGTCTACAGATGCCTCAAAACGGGCATCGTGGTGGTGCATCACACGGTGTGCCGGTGACGCCGCCGCCCTGGATCGATTGCTAGATGAAGACATATGTGCCCACTGCGAGATAACCACAGGACCCCTCGAAGCCGAAGGCGTTTCAGTCGAGGTCCTTGGGAATACCAAGACAAGGCTCCCAGGGAGCATCCTCACAGCTCCCGACCCGAAGCACACAGAGAACATCATCAAGGCATATCAAGGCCCTGTGCCTCCAGCCCAACGAGAAGTCACCAGTGCCTTCAAAGAAGCCAGACCTGAGTGACACCACACCTCTGAGCGCGGGGGACGCCGCCACGTACCGCTCAGCTGTAGGCTCCGGGATTTATCTTTCGGCAGACCGCCGCGACATCCAATGCGCGGTCAAGGAGCTTGTGCGACGCATGTCTGCACCAAGGCGGTGTGATATGGCGCAGGCAGCCATCTTGGGCCGGTACCTGCAGGCGCACCCGAACCTTGTTCGGGTCACCACCCTAGACACCAATGCGCACGACGGAGCTTTTCAGCTCGACGTCTTCTGCGGCAGCGATTGGGGAGGATGTGTGGGAACGACGCGGTCCACAGACTGCCATGTGGTCGTTCTTGGTGGGGCGGTGGTTACCACCTCGACGCAGACCCAGCCGGGCCTGCCAGCAACCAGCAGTCCAGATGCTGAGTTGCGCGGCATTAGCAGAGGCGGCCGCGAAGCGATCTTCGTGCACGACCTCCACTGGGATCACGGCTGCCAAGCGCATCGGCCCAGGGAGCAAGCTGAGACGCGTCGACGTGTCTCAGTTCTACGTCCAAGGCGCAGTCCAAGCAAAGCTAAGCGCGCAGAGAACCCGAGGTTCTGCAAGCTTTGCCGTTTTGGGCAATGGTAGACGCATGCGGCGTGTAGTTTTATTTTCGCCCACGTAAAAGTCGTGTCTGTCCTTGTCCCTGGTCCCTATCACCGTGTTGCCCCAACACGTGACGATCGGTGATTATGCTGCCCGCAGGCACCAACGCGAGGCCGCTGCAGTTGCGAAACAGGTGGACTGTGCGACGCGTGGGAGGGTAGTACAGCTCCAAGAACTCGCGTTGAGGGATTTGAGGCAGACGCATGCCGTTTCGGCGGTTTCCCCGGCATCCCCGTTGTGAGGTTCGGGCTCCGGTGCTGGCGGGCGGAGGTCTCGCGGCGGAGCCGCCCGCGCCGGCTCTCGAAAGAGGTGGTGGGAGTTTCTTGGACCGGCTGCTTTGCTAGGGGCGTGCCGTTCTTCTCCTCTGGGTCGGAGGATTCCTCTTCCGGCTGTCGGCGTACCGTTCGCCTCCTTTGCAGCCCGCGGCTGCGCCACCTTAGCACTGCACTGGTAGCAAACCAGAGGATGACCAACCAGCCCAGGATGCCGAGCAGCAGTGTTGCTCGGAGACTCGAAGGGCCCATTCGATGATATCTTCCTCCCTCGTCGGTTGCCCCCTCACTCCACGGATTTGGTGCCCAAAAGAAACGCTGGCGATAGCGAGGGCTTGCACGGAGACACCGGCTTCCACTGACGCGGCGGGTTTTCCCGCACAAGCTTCACAGCGTGGTGGCAGTGCTTCCTGCAACATACGACAGGTAATCTCCGATGGGACTTGCGCCCTATGTGAAGTGGGATTCGCATTTCGCAAGCTGCATGGCTATATTTGCGACCTACTTCGTCAACACTGTCTACCTGCAAAGCCGGGGGCAGTGACGGTGCCTTGCACACGGGAATGGCTGCAGGACCAGGACTCAGACGAGGAGGACCAGCCAGCGGAGGAAGTGTTGGTGAAGCTGGCCTAGACGGCTACAGGCGAAATTTTGTGGTTGTCTACACGATCAAGGCCAGAGCTGGCACGAGTATGGCTTCAAGAGCATCGAGGAATCGGGCTAAAGCGCTTGAGATCGCCAAACGGGTCTTGAACTACCTGGCCAAGACTGTGGAATATGGGTTGAGCTACGTCGAGGACGAAGAGGAGACTTTGCTTCCAGTATACTCGGATGCTTCGTATGCTCCAGGCGGTGGACGTCTGTTTGGTTGCATTATGGCGCAGATGGCTGGAATGCCGGTGTGCTGGCGAGCATCAAAGCAGCCGATTGTTACTTTGTCGGTTGCGGAAGCAGAGCTGTACGAAGCTGTTTCCTCGGTGCAGCTTGGGTGTGGAAGCTATGTTAAATGAGTCGGGTGAGAAGCCGGTTATGCACCATTATGCACCGAGAGGCAAAAGGCTGCAGCTCAAGGGCTTGAGAAGCTTTTGGGAGCTGGAAGACGCGGCATCTACGACGTGGTCAATTCCTACGTCAAGAAGTTGCAGCGCAGCGGCTTACGATAACTCACGTTCCAGGAGATCTACAGAAGGCTGATTTGGGAACGAGGAGCTTCGCTGTGGCCCAGTTCAGGTCGCTACTAGGTTAATGGCGCATTGTGCCCTACGAGATGGCTGAGACTGCCGAGATTGCGATGAAGACAGCAAAGAAGCTCAACAACAAGAGCATCCTGATGTTTGTGATGGTGTGCTTCATGATGGTGCAAGGAGCTCGGGGGAATGTTAAGGAAGATCTTCAGCTTGATGGATCGGTCGAGTTCTTGAGTGTTGTGGCTTGTGTAGGGAGATGATAAAGAAGGTCGGCAAGATGTTCAAGTCGTGGTGGAGAACGAAGGCAGAGGCTGCTGTGAAAGACGACCCACGGCGACGTGCCGACTTCGAGATCACTACTCCAAGGACTGCGAGCAAGAGTTCCCCGAACACTGGTTACAGAAAGGCGACCAAAGACGGAACCTACCTGATCCTGCACTGCACTCGAAAGCATGACTGTCCAGTCACATGAATGCGTCCTGAATTGAACGCTCAACACTCCTCCTCATCCTTTGGCGATGGGGTGCTCCGACTAGCATGAGCGGTCGATCCCGGTCACAATATCGGCACAATCGATAGGTCTTTGGAGGACCCGTGGCATTCCTTTGTCCATGACATCCGGCGATCGTGTGCATGCAGTCACCGTTGGGAGTGGCATAGAAAAGCCCATCAAAACCCTGAAGTCTTCTAGCATCTATCCACTTCGACCCTCTAGAGGGCTCATCGGTTTGCGCAGTCACCGACCTGGTAGGAGACGCCGTTAATTGGAGACCTCCTGAAGTTTGTAAAGACGTACAGATGCTATGATCCGGACCGGCACGACATGGCTCTACGAATGTGAAAAAGCGTTTGTTAGAATGCGGTGTGCTCTTTCGTGAAGATTAGGATGGCGCATTCCCAGACAATGGATATTCAGCGGCCCATGTAAACCTATGCTTACCCGACATAACCCGAGGCTGCCAAACCCTACCCCCCTGAAGCAATGTGGAACCCGCACTTAATCCCTCTTCAAAGGAACAGTGGTCAACACGCCTTGCGAACAGTGGAGTGATGTGGAGTGTAATGCAAGGCTTACGCCTTGAACCCTGCCCAGGCTTGCCTTGCAAATGCCCACGTCGTAGGCCGCCTCCAGAGCCTGCTCCGCTTGGGTTTGCTCTTGAACGGCGTAACGTCTATTGAGGATTTAGGCTAGGTTGCTTCCGGTGAAAGCTTTGGGGGGTCCAGGGGAAGGACGCCCAAGTACTTGTTCTAGGGTCTTATGCTTTTGACTATTCGAAAGTCAGCGTGCAGTGAGTCTACAGCGCGGCACTTTAGATTTTAGTCGGCTTCAGGATGACGAATAGGGACCAAACACGGTTGCTGTAGTTCCAAGCCCAAAATCTTCTTCCTGCCAAACCCTTCCGAGGCTTGCTGCACGGCAGGTTCCCTGAAGCTTGGCGCCCGGTTTAGGATCACCAAAAAAAGAGCATGTTTCCACATTCAAGACCTCCAAGAAGTGTTAGAAGCTCCAGTTAATACTGGGTGTGATTCAGCAGCCCTCCCAATACCGAGCGACCGTTTGGGATGCCAGCTGCGCGTGAACAGGAAGCAACCAAACACAGGTGCCTCATAACTGGAACTCTACAGTGGAACTCCAGACAAAAACCCCTTTGGTTGGTGTTTCCTCGGTTAAGTTAGGAAGTTTGAAATGTGGACCTGCAGCTTAGAAACAAACCCTACATCCGAAGTGGCCTGAGACTTTGAGAGAAAGTCGTCACTCCTCGCTTCCCCGCCTTCCAGGTGCCAATACGCTCCAACACCGACCAAAGCTCAGGGTCCTCTCTCACTTCGCAGCGCGTGTTTCACCGGCTTTCAGGCGGTTCTGCAAGGACCGTGTGCAGTGTTCACACGCCGGATCCTTGTTTGTGACAGGGCCGTCTTGCTGAACCTCTCGTATGGGTTGACCCACATTGCTCGAATTTCAAGATTAAGAGTCTGCGAAGCGACCGTTTCATCAGTGCTTTCAGTGGGTCCAGCGCTTGAGGTGTTCAAAGTTTAGATAGTGTAGTTGTTCTGCGGCGTACGGTGATTCAGGGCTTGATCACGCACTACGGCTTGTGGCTAGGGCAACGAGGCTTCTGAGTTTAGGGCTGGCCGGTATCAAGGACTTACTCTGTATCGCTTCGGGTTGGCTCCCATCCTGCCCTATGACGCAAACCCTGAGCTGGAAAGACCAACCTCCCTCCAAGGCTCATCCCACGGACACAACTCAGACGGAAGATCTCAGCGCGGTGGTCCTAAGGGCTTTTGGGCTGAGGCCTCCCCTGCCCTCTCGGCGTAGTGCCATAGTTCATGATCAGAACCACATAAACTGTTACACATTGTACTTCTCTCAAAGTTGGAGCAATGCAGCAGCAAGAAAAGGTAGGCGCAATTTCACCCGTCACCAGTTGTTACAGGCCTTCACGGAGGCGGGTGCCTGCCAGGAAATTGAGAAGATCCATGCTCCGGTGTTATCTGAGGGTCTCCATTGTGTGTTGTGGAGGGTGTCAGGTTCTGGTGCGTCCCCTAAGGGTTGGTAGGTCTTCGGGATTTCTTGAAAAAACTGTGGCTCTGGCCATCACACACAGGACCGACGACAGATTGCGGCAACCATGCAAGGGCCTCACTTTCTCAGATTGGATTCACTTTTTGGCCAATATGTGAGAACAGATGCTTGAGCGTGTTTTGGGCTGGCCATCTCAGCAGGTACTTGGTTGCAGCATCTCGGAATCATGTCAGCACACTCTGAAGAGCCTTTTTGTTAGGTGCCCATTCCTCACATGTGGAGCATCCCCCTGCGAAAATAGTAAAATGATCTCCACCATGTCCAATAGGTAGAAAGCATCGATAGGCAATTGATAGAAAGATAATTGGATAGATGGTTAGACAGATAAGCAGATAGATAGATGGATAGATAGATAGATGGATAGAGAAGTAGATAAATAAATGAACAGATAGATAGATATATCGATAGATAGAAAGAGACGGAAAGATAGATAGATAGTTAGATCGATAGATAATTAGACAGATAGGACAATTAGATAGGTAGGTAGATAGATAGATAGATAGATAGAGCGATAGACAGATAGTTAGGTAGACAGATAGATAATTAGATAGACAGTTGGACAGATAAACAGATAGATAGATAGTTAGATAGATAGACAGATAGTTAGATAGATACGTAGATTAGATAGATAGGCAGATAGATAGAAAGATAGTACTGCGTACCATGCTGATCTCAGCTGAAGTGCACCTTGCCCGGAACCTGTCAAGTACACCCTGAACTCTGATCCTACGCTCTAAACCCCACACCTTTGGCACTGAATCGCGAAAGGAGGAACCCACGGCACCTGTTCCGCCGTGTTCGGCCAGTGTACCATGCAAAGGTCGGCATAGCCTGATAGGGCTTCCGGACGATTGTTTGGAACTAATCAAAAAAATGGTTCCCAAACTCCGTCTCAGAGCCCCTTGTCCCTGAAAGCCCTAAGCCATGCCAAGGCTCAGCACCTCGAGGGGCCCAAAGTAGGGTTGGGGGTTTACGGTGTCGAGTTTATACTGTTAGCCTGACAAAGCGCTTATCTTTTGAAGCCTCAACCGTCGTGAACCTTGTCGGGTTTCCACCCATCCACCCTACTATAACTGATGATGGCTTTGCTTTCTTGGCACCGGTTGGGGTTCACAGAGGTGCACAACCCGACTGAAAATGTTAGTGCTTGCGGCCAGAATTGCTACCCATGTAATTAGAGGCCCAGCGGTGTGACCTAGTGTTGGAGATTGTTGCTGCAAGGTTACAGACGAAAGGGAAAATGGCTTCCCACATGACGCCGAAGATGTGTATACAGAATTTCGAACCGGTAGAGGGCTTGCGGCAAGTAAGCCTCTGAACAAAACTCGTTTCGCGGGAGAAGAGCTAGCCAAGGCACATGTCCCGGGCAAAAATTGCCTTGGCGAAACTAACCCCAAGCTATTGAATGTGTGCGAGGCTCAAGGCATCCTGGTTCCACAAACTCAAACCTGCAAGCCGGTGCAAGCTATGATGTCCGATTCCGAGGAACACCCGCAGACTTCAACTGCTGCAACCCGCGAAAGTGGAAATGCCAACTATAACTAGGAGGCAGTCATGGAGACGATTTCAGGTGCGGCGAAAAACATAAGCCCACCTCTTGCCCATGACTATCCCGTGTCCATAATCTATGCACCGGAAAGCCCTTTTCCCCGCAGGCCTACCTACATAGCAAGCTTGCCTACAAAGCCACAAACCCGAAACCCCAATTGAGGTGAACCCGGGTACACTGGTATCCGCGGGTGCTTCGTCGATGTAAACGAAAGTGAACCAGGGTACATTGCACTCTAGGTTTAGGATTCTGAAACCAGCCGGTTCAAGTTGCAAAGAGACAGGGGCAATGGAAGCTTGACGTCTGGGGTTTAGGACACCGGGCACTTGGTGTTGGGTTTAGGGTTTTCGGGCGAAGCTCAACACCCTACACTTTGAATGCTCTAGCCAAATTCCCAAAACTTGACAGCCAACCCGACGCTCCAAACCCTGAAACTCTGTGCCCTGAAAACTCCAGACCTACAAAACCCCAAAAGTTCTCCCCCGCGCATCAGGCTTCGGCCGACCTCCTGGCATTTCTTCGGCAAACCTCTGGAGGAGAGCCCAAGTAGCCTGCGAAGCAGGGGAGAAGGAGCATCCACAGTTCTCAAGGGCCAAGGTCCTAAGGTTTGAGGATCGAAGAAATTATGGTGGTTCAAAGTTCAGGACGTTCGGCTGAGAGATTAGGTTTCAGGTCTTCCAGGTAATCGATGATTCACGAAGTCCGATTTCGGAGGCCTTCAGAATATTCACGAAGATACTGGCCTTGAAGCCGCCAGTGCAGCAATCTGATTGCGCAACATCGTGCCTACAATCGTTTGGATGATTTCAGCCAGGCCCTGCTAAATCCGGTTTGCAACTAGATGAAAATCACCAGTGAGACGCAAGTACATACTCCATTTGGACTTAGAGCCTTCGGGAAGGCTTGGGGCGTAGGTGCAGGCTTCAGGGGAGCACCAAACCCATAAACCAGCACGACTCGCATGGTCACCCTGAGCTTAGGCTCGACATAGGTGCCGCAAAACTTATGTGATGTCGGGTTTGGAGTTCATCTGTTGAGAGTGTGTGCGCTGGCTTTTTTGTTTCAGGTTTACGGCAGGTTTGAGATTTAGAAAACCCAGATATACACAGATCATTTTACTAGCGCAAACAGGCAGAAGGCAGAATCATAAGACTAAGAATCTACCAGCCCATGTGGGCTCGGCCGTTCGGTAATGTTGCGCGTTCAGAACCCCACCAGAAGGCCAAAGGCAATCACAGGCATCGCAATCCTCTTAAAACCCTCAAGCAGCAACGAGGGTTGAGCGCTTGGGGAGTGGATGAACCTGGAACACCGAACATTCCCGGCCCAAGCCCAACCACGTCGCCTCGAATCCCATGGCATCGGGTGGCACCTGCGTCAAATCCAACACATCCGGGCTTGCAATCTTTCTTGAGGTTCAGTCGTTTCGGCTCGGTAGAACTTCTCGCTGAGCCCTTTCATCCACAGATATCCTCAGTATGCGCGGGCTCCTCAAGATGTTCAGACTTGAGTGTTCTCTTCAACGTTGCCGTGATAGCCACAACAGCAGCTATAGTAGTTGACACTGATAGCATTACAGAAATAATCCTGAAATTCACCAAGCAAGGTCTCCCCAATTGTCCAAGCACTCCTTGCCTTAGTTAGGGCTTCTTGGTGCTTAACAATTTGAAAGCCACCCCAAGTCCAACATATATAGGGAGTACGAGTACTTGAAAGTTGAAAGCTTCCCTAAGCGCTGAACCCAATTCAAGTGCTGCCCCAGGTTCAGCTTCAGACTCCGGAGGAATTGAAGCACAGCCATGAAATCACCAATTTCACAAGGGATTGGGGTTTAACGCTTTCGTTTTGAAATTTGCAGGGTTTTGGATTGAGGCTTAAGGCATCTGAAGTGAGCAAACTCCAAACGAAGGATGGGACAAACTGGTACAAAACCCCAGACCCCTGCCCTCGTTGATGCCGCTACTCCACGTACGGTTTTCTAGTCCTACATACCGTATTATGTCACTGCCCATAAAAGCACGTACACTCGACATCAGGGTCTGCGGATGCGGAACGCATCGCGTTGCAGCTCAAATTTATGTTTAACGTATAGCTCTGGCGATTTAGGGTGCAAGGGCGACAAAGTTCAGGGTTCGGACTCAGATTCATTAAAGGTGAGATCCGCCGACAGGGAAGGAGGAAACCCCGTGCGGGGCCAGGGGAGAGGAGGGGAAAGGAGGAGGCGGGGGCGGTTGCAAGAGTGCGAAAGGCGGGGGTTCGTCATCAAGGAGTATGAAAGGGGGGTTCCTCAATGCTTAGTCGGAATTGAGAGGGAGCTTGGTTCGGTCCCGTTCCATGTTCTTTGATTCATGCTGCTGTTTCCTCCCTGTTCCATGTCCACGCGGTCCCCCCTTCCCGGTACGCTGTCGCTGGTCCGCTGGCCTCACTATGCAGCGGTATTTCTGTCGCTTTCACTAGTACTACTAGTTACCAGTGAGGAGACTATTACATCACCATTATTGCTCTTACTACTCCTACTACTACTACTACTACTGCTACTACTACTACTACTACTAATGAAGTTGGTATCACTCCTATAGCTAAACAAACCTTTCTGACCCGCTTACAACCTATCCTACTTTGCTAGAAAAAACACCAACACCCNNCCCCCCCCCCCCCCCCCCCCGCGAGACAAAGCTGCTGCCCCCGCAATCCCCGCTGTCTTCTTAAGCCGTGTAAACTTGCTTTCAAGGACATCGCACCAAGGCGTCACCAGCACCCAGCTGAGCACCCAGCGCCCGGCAGCAGCAGCACCACCACCATCAACAACACCACCACCACCTACCACCGCCACCACCAACAGCAATAACAAACACAACACAAACCAACAATGATAAAAATAACACGCACACGAACAACACCATGAACAATAGCAACAATAACAACAACAAATACGAACACTAGTCTTTGTTGGAGCAGACGAAGACGAGGAAGAGGTCGACATATTGTACATGCCCAGCGTCTGTAGGAGATCACGTGGCTGAGCATTACATTACGAGCTGACATCCCCTCCGATGAAGATGGCACTCTTTGCGACGGTAGAGTTGCATCTCGCACAACGTGCAGGTGCCGTTTGTACTCCGGAGACAATCTTATCCAGATTAATTATTGAATACCTCATCGGATCGGGTTCTCCCTGATAGGCACGATGCGGATCTTAGCTGGGTAAGATGTGACGAAGTGCAAGCCTTGGTTGGACTCCAATGTATGTTGAGCTTTTAAACTCTCGTAGCTAAGTCTAGGGATTGTCCGATAGATCTTGCTGCTGCGGATTTCGTCGTCAACCGTCTATGGGATGCCTGGGGCTCTAGATCTGAGTGCTCCTAAGGGGCTGCCTTTCGAGTTACAGACGAAGGGTGATCGGAACCGAGTCCAGAAATCAAACAGGCTTTTGTCCCAAACTCCTTTGATAATGACTGACCGGCAGGAGCATGCTGATGATCAGTGTGGTATTTTCCTTTGTCGCATCTCCTGTCGCCCAGTTTTGTCGACTGGGCGAGGGGGAGTGCGTGAAGCATTGCGATCCGAGGTGACTGGCATCATCTACGTCAGCCTTGTGACGTGTTTGCGGTACAGAGAAGCTTAGCATGCCCTGCGGTCAAAAAGAGTGTTAGATATCAGGCTGTTTTTTGTTCAAGAAAAGCATTGAGGCGCGCATTATCTTCATTGGATTCTTCTGGATTGTGCCCTTCGGTCGAGTCGCTTCGGGATTCCCTTGGGTTCATCTGTGGCTTATCTTTGATTTCATCTTGAATTCCACGTACTGGGCTCTAAACCGTACAGTCGTCATTGAACCCTGCCCCCAATGAGGCACATGCTAAACCCAATCAGACAGCAGATCCTGGATCCTGAAACGCGATGTCCAACTCCAGACCCTATCCCAAATCCTAGATCCCGAGACCCAAATAATACACACCTCAGCCTGGTACCTTGTTCGTGATGAACAGCTTCTCCCGCCGCACACCACTGTCGGCTACGCCCTGCCGCAGCTCGTCGGGGTAGCTGGGGTACCTGTTCGTGGATTTGAGAGTTCGGGTTGTTGGACATCTGTCGAAGTTGTACTCTGTACTATTCTTCGTAAAGACAATCAGGGCTGCATATCGTAAGGAGCGATCGCATCCTGAACTCCCGAGATGCCTAGAAAAGTTTCGAAATGCCGGCAGAGCTCTAACAGCCAGGCCAAGGACTTTTCATTCTTGATGTATGGGACTGTGATTAATCAGAATGGTTGTTAGTGCTGACTTCGTACAATCTAGACGCCTGTGCACATGTACTTACCTCAGCAGTGGTACGTGTTGCTCGTACCATCGAACCTCCTTGGAGAAGGCAGTGCAAACGCTACAGCTTAAACCGTGACTGATTACAGAAGTAGTCTGCTGTAGAGAAAGAGGCTGAAGCAGATTGTGTGACTATCATTAAACTTAGGGCCTCACGGTTTGTGGCTCAGGACTTAATGGGCTTCAAGCGGGTGTGCTATCTTCTGAGCCGAGCTTTACATGCTTACCTGTGTCGAGCCTGGAGCACTAGTGTCATCCTCATCTTGTCAACAGACTTGTTGAGTCACTTTGCCGACGGCACACATCGTGCCCGAGTCCAAATGTCTGTATCCGGCCCGCAATGCAAATGCAATGACTTCCTGATGCGCAGAACCTATTGCTTGGGTTTGGTGTTTGGGGCTGTAGCCTTGAAGCTTAGGCTTATGGCTTAGCTTCTAGTTTCCCCGAACCTCAACAAGAAAATCCCAACCAAACTCTGAAACCTTTTGTCCCGACTGCGGTTCAGATTCATCGCAGTGCTTGTTAAGGCTGGATGAGAAAGTCGTGCCCCATGGGACAAAAGCATGCCCCCCATTGCATTGAGGAATACTGTTTTAAATACCCGTTGCATCAAGAGGCTTTAGCTGGTCCAAACGACCGTGTGTCTTTCGAGCGTCTTCAAGCCCGCAGCTTGAACGAATCGTGATGAACTCAGAGCATGAGCATTTGCTGGGTCTTGTCACGCTAAACACCTGAAGCCAAAGAAGCGACCCCCGAAGTAATTGACCTGCAAACTCTGCAAACACCAAGACACAAAACTACCAAACCACAGTGCTAATCACCTCCCGGACTGAGCCTGAACATCTTGTGCATCTACCCGAAATCCAAACTCCTCTCCTCAACGCCCTCAAGCCCTGCAGCCCGTAAGCCTTCTGCGTGCAAGCATGCCTAAACCCTTTTAAGACCTGAACCCCGAAACTTAAGGCCCTTAGTGAACAACTTTAACCCTGAAAACTCGCATCGTAAACTCTGCACAACCTTCGGGCCCAAAGCCTCAATCTCATGAACCCTATCCTAAACCTACAGCGCTATTATTCCCGTCGCTGTAAACACTGTAAACCCTGTCAGTTTACAAGTATGCTGGCACGTCTCTCTGGCAACCTTGCCGGACATTCCACCAGTGCCAAGTGCAAGTAGCCTCGGGCTGGAGTCTGTACTTACAAGCCCAACCTACGAAGCCAGTTGTAGCTACGTATGCTGTATACAGCTTCATTAAATGGACCAAGCCAGACAGAAGATAGACAAACGGATATGTCTTGGGTATAAGTCGGTGAGTTTGGGGCTGTACAGGGCGCCTCAGTGTTGAGATTGCTTCAGGGTTTAAGGTCCCCAGTTTGGGGCCGACATGCTCAAATGCCTCGCTTTATCTTATTTCTGGAACCTTTTGCAGGACGCGTAGAAAATATAGGAAAGTACGGTTCGACGCGGATTGACGTCAATGAGATCGAACTCAGGAAGTCAATCACCTCCTAGCAACACGTAACTATACAAACACCCCGAACCTTCTCATGCGAAACCGAAACCCACGAGCCTTCCGTACTGTCACCATGACGGTTGATACTGCTGTCAGTGGCAACTTTATTGTAAGCCTTCTACTAGGCTATTCACCGGCTTCTAGTTTGCCCTTTAAAAAGCGAAGGTGCGAGGCGCTTCCAATCAGCAGCCAAACAGGAGAGCCCACGACACCGGATGGAAAGTCATAAGCCACACCCGCAAACCCGAAGCCCGTCAACCCAAACCTGGGCCTCTGTCATAATGACAAGAACTCTTCTTTAGCATTTTAGCATTACCCTGCATTACCCTGTTTAGTCTTGTTATTACCCTAAGCTGCTGCCCAACGGCGGCAGCCGACGACCAGAGCCTTTGAGAGGCTCCGAGGCCAGGCCGCTCTTCGCAAGCGAAGCCGCCAAGGCCTCGAATTTGGAATTTGGGGTCTTCTTGAGAGGTCCAGCGCTTCGGATTTTTAGGGATTTTTCAAGCCTCGAGCCTGTGATTTAAGGTTCAGGGGTCTAGGGAGTCTAGGGCCTAGGGTTTGTTCTTTAAGGCTCGAGGTTTGCTGCGACCCCACGTACTTTGAGAGCCACTTCAACTCTGAAGGCCGAAGCAGAGGTCAAGGGAGAGAGTTAAGGTCCTGAGGCTTATGCGAGACTGTCAGTGTATTGATGTACACTTGGGGTTCAGGGTGCTTGTGGTTCAAGGTTTGGGGCAACGCGCTTTAACTTCACTCGAACTGAACTATTCTATGGCTTCCGACACTTCAAGATTGAAATGCTGAGACCTGTGACCCCGAGTGAGGTATTGCACTTCGCAGCAGCAGAAGCCACTTCCTTTCACCAGTGAAACTTGAACCTTCAGGGTAGTAACACCTGAACACTGACCCTAGTTGTAGAGTACTTCTTTGGGCGCTTGCATGAAATCGCAAAGGGCTGCCCAGGCACATGCCGCCGATCTGTCAACCCAATCACGACGGCATCGCGGGCACGCAAAATGCGCCTGTGTAGGTCTTCGGCAGGCTGCAAGCGCATGGTTTCAGTTTTGGAATTTACCGGTGGGGTTGGGGGCTCAATGACTAACTAGAGTTTACAAATTAGGGATGTAGCCCTCACGTCCTTCTTTTGAAGACCTTCTCTCCGTCTGCAAGATGTTGCATGCAGAATAGGACCATATATAGCAGGACGTCCCGCTTGCAGACTGTCACAGGGCATCCGAGGAATGCCTGACTGAATTGTCCAAATCATTAGTCAGCGTACTTCCACTGGATCTACAACTTCGAGATTGAAATCAACCCGAAACGAAACCGAGATGGACTGTTGCATGCGATTTACCCACTGCCAGCACAGGCACAATGTGTCGCTATAGTTGCAGTCAAGAAGTCTGAGGCATGAACTTTTAAGCAGACCCTTTGTCCATTCAATAGAACGAACCACACGTGACGATTTCTGTTACCCAGCTATCCCGACCTGTACTGCATAGCAGGAAGCCAGTCATGCATAAAATGGCGCTGCTGCTCAAAGTCTAAAGAGAGACAGCGAGAGAGGGAAAGAGCCTAAAAGATAAAGACCACGCGATTAAAACAAACTCCAAACTGCGAGAAAGTGACTCTGAATGCATGATGTTGGAAAGATGATGACGAAGCGACCCTCAAATTTGACGGAGCTCTTCTAGAGTAGTACATCAAGGGCACGTAATTTAATCGACAGGGTAACAGCCGGCACGCTCGAGAACTGCAACTGTGGTTGGCTGTGATGTCTACAAAGTAGAATAAACACGGCACAGAAGGCTGAGGATATAGGATTTCGGGTCGGATGTTGGAAAAGGCTCTGAAGGTTCTACAGGTCCCATGTTGGAAAACATGGAAACTTTCAAGCTTTGTCCTTGATCGGTCCGTTTCCTCCTTGCGGTCAGAACGCCGAGTCGGTAGAGGCAGGGGTCGAGGCACGTTACCACATCCTCCAACTACCCCGAATCATAACCACCCTGGCCCAATCGCAATGGAAACACGAAGAGAAAAAACACACGGGGGCTCACAAGATTTGAGATTCAGGGTAACTAAAGTTTGGGGGCTTCGGGTTTAGCTTTGCAATTCCGGGGTAGCTTCTGGAACATGGAAGTTTAGGCTTCAGCTTTCGAGCCCAAAACGCCTCCTAAACCCGAAACCCTTAAACCACAAAACTCGGTTCAAGCAGCTGGCATGTGGCACAACACAGAGGCATCCACTGGGAGCCAGCAGCACAGTTCCTGCCGCGGATGCGAGTGAAGGAGTGTGGGAAGAGCTGGGGATCGTTGGCAGGCCCGTTTCGCTGCAGGATTCTTGGGTACTCTTGGACCTGCCTCAATTGATTGCTTCTCCAGGCTGGCGCCAGGCCTTCGCCCAAGATGACTACAATAAGGAAATCGAAGAGGGGTCTTGTGGCAGTATAGGCACCATAATTGGTAGAAAGGGAGGATGGCTCTAAACACGCGGACACGCAGGCAGCACCTCCAGTCGGCACGCCCAGCATCACCGCCGTCCAGCAACCTCTCTTCGCAGTTTGCGTGCTCCTCGAAGTTCTGGAATTCAGGATGGGCGTAGATCCCCAACTGTGTATCAAAGTGGTTTCTTCGACTTGCAAATACACTCAACACGTGATCTCGAGTTCGTCGCTAGGCTATGCATCACGTGGCATGCATGTCTATGAATGGTTTGTATGTGTAGTTGTTCTGACGATACATCGTATACACTTCAGACCATGTGTCACGCCGTCAAAAGGCTCCAAAAGCACTCTCACACGTATTTATGGAATTCCCTAAATGAAGTTTTCGATTTCAGGATATGGGGGGGAGCTCGGAGAGCATGTAACGAAAAACTAGGAGAGCTCCCGAGATCGCACCCCAATGCGGACCGCTGCAGCGGGCTTCTTGCGAGTGCCACACTGTGTTGGCGGTCCAGGGCCTGTCCACAGCAAATGCATTCATTGATCCTGCGCAAACGAGAGCACGGCACCGTCGTGCAAGGTGCCATTCAATGATTCCGCACGGTGGCAGTACGTAACATATTTCTTTTTGTAGCCGCGCAATGTAGAAAATGAAATGTTCAACAACGCAATTGTGCTTCATGTACGGGTCCTACGGCCTACAGACGCATTGTAGAAGCCTGTGCAGTTTTGCATGGGAAACCTACCGGTGCCATGTTTACAGTATATAATATCTATACGCGCAAATGCTTTTTTTCGAGCGAGCGCAGTGAGCTCCCAACAGAACCGGGCAGCTGGATCGTCAAATGCCACGCAGTATGTACAAACATGCGACCTTAACAAGACCACCACGTCAAGTTGGAGCGGCTGAAAGTCTTCGTGCCATCATCCGGAAGCAAAAATGGATCTAGCTAGCCTTTGAAAAGCCTGTGGCTTGACTGTTTGAAGGCGCGCAGCCTTACTGGGATCAAATATGGCTGTGGGACCTGACGACCTACCTTGCATGTCAAACCAGTCCTGGGCTTTCGGTTGTGGAAATGAGATACTACCTGATTTAACGGTCTGATCTTGATTCTTGATGATGAGACACAGAGCTTCAATTTAGCATTTGTCCATATGCCGCCGAAGTGCTCAATATTGCAGTCGTATTCTTTGTTTGGAAATGCGGCAGGCTTACCTAGGATGCGTTCACGCATTTAGTTCCGAATACTTGGATCTTTCATCTGATTGATGTGTTATCCTTTCCCAAAACATGTTAAGTCGATTGCAAGTTGCCCTACAGCCTCCCAACCTGCTAGCTATGTCCACGTTGTTGTGGAATGTGAGTGGTGTCTTGGGACTAGTCTTCCTGCAGCTAGTCCATCAGGAGAACTACGTACTGATGATACTCTGTGATTTGCTGTGCGATTCACACATGTCTCAAAGTTGAATTTCAACCTGTAGTACGCACCATGCCTTTCAATGGCATGCAATAGCTTATTAATAACATGTCAGATCAGTAAACACAATCTATTGGCTGGAGTTGCCCTTTTGTGGATTCCATGTTGATGTCTGCGACAAACCCGCTATAACTAAAACAAGTAAGATGATAGAGGACATCCCTGACTTATACCAGGACGGTTTTTTTTCCTAACGCTGGCGGTCCCCGATCTCATTTGCTAGTGATTCCGTCATGTTTTTTGGGCACGCGGCATAATTTGTCGATTGCGGTTCATCATACATCTTAAACGCACCCCTTCATGAATCGATTCCGGCTTTCATCATGTATTCCGGTTTTCATCATGTATCTTAAACACGCCCCCTCCTAATGCGATTCCGGTTCATCATGGGCGAGTCCGGCCCATCATTTTTTTCAAGCACGTCCCCTCATTTGGCGATCCAGGTTCATCATACATCTTAAACACGCCATGTGGCGATTCCGGTTAATCATACATCTTCAACACGTCCCCTCTCATGGCGCTTCCGGTTCATCATAATACGTATATTTTATACACGTTCATGCAGCGATTCCCGCTCATCATATATGAATCTTAAACATGCCACCCCTCCCCAAATGCGCGAGACCGGATCATCATATATCTAAAACACCCCCCCTCATCACATACGAGTATCTTGAGCACGCCCCCTCATTTGTTCATTCCGATTCTGCATATGTGAGTATCTTGAGCACGCCCCCTCCTTTGTTCATTCCGATTCTGCACTTCCGCTAAACTGCTAAACCCGCTCCCAACTTTCAGAAACCCGCAGCCGAGGCATAGCAAAAAAAAAGCCGGGGGGGGGGGGGGG